GGCTGGCAGCACGGTGGGCTCAAGCAGGGTCTTGGGCTTTGGCATTTGCCCTGCTCCCTGGGCTGGAGTACTTTCAAGCACACTGCAAGCCCACCTTTTCTCCCAGGCCTCTGAGTTCCTACCTACGAGGTCCTATGGTTGTAAAGGGAGTTATTTTATGTGCTGCTGTGGATTGATGTTGGGTGACGGAGAGCCATCCGCTGTATATTTTGATGACATTAAACAAATGCCTCCAGGCACCATGGAGCTCAGCTTTTACACGCTGATAAAAACAGATGACGAGAGACAGGATGCTGTCACAACTAGGAGGTAGATACTAGAGGAGAGCCAGGGCACTCCCTCTCTCTGCCTTACCTGACTTTTCTGGAGCCCTGCAATAGCAAAATTTAGTACGGGCAGACAAGTCGCTTTACTCCTGTATACGTGCAGACAAATGTAATCCACGGTGCAATTCAAATAATGGACTAGTGCTTTTCTCCAAGGTTGTCAAGGCATTTCACAAAACAGGAATTCACCAGGTCTCAGCAGTAAGTCAGCCGTGTTTGTATAGATGCAACCCAAGCAGAGGTACGCGGTCGTAGCTGTATATGAAGAACCGGTGCATATGGCTCTGAGAGTTGAAATCAAGAAGTTGCTGCGTGGGTACGGTGGTTCAAGGAGCTGCAGAAGCAGGATACACATGTTCAAAAGGAATTATGGTATTTATGCAAAAAGCCGCAATGAAGAAATAAAACTATTCAAAATTGTGTGTTTTAAACATTGTGTTTTTATTAGGAATTGCACAAGACCAGCTTTTTCTAGTGCTTCTACCATCGCTTTAAAATAGTATTATGAACAACCTCAGGGGGTCAGAAGTATGCCAAGGAAATACAAAAGGGGCTTTTATAATAAAAACAAATGACTCGACACCACGAGATTTTGTCCCATGTGCAACTATGTTAAATCTGTCAAAATATTAGTGCAGCGGGGGAAATCTGACAAACACCTGATGGTCCCACAAGAACAACTTTTAATGGTAACAAAAATATGTACCCTTTAGGGATAGTACATTCAATACAAAAACAGCAAATGCCGAGTGCCCTGTGTCACGTAGCCGGCAGGTGGTGCTGCAATCTGTGAAATGTGCTCGTACAGAAAGCAGAACACAGCCTCCTGCTAAAATCCATCACATTTTGTCAGAAAGAAGGATCTATATAAAACTAATCAGAATTTGGGACGTAGCACCTGTAACAGGAATTGCTCCGTGCTACGGGGACACAGCTGAAACGTGAAATGAGGAGGAATTATTTTAATAAACGTAACAAAAAGATGGGGTAGGTGCTCAGGCAGTGATTAGAAGGGGAAAGAAAAGGACAAACAGTTCCAGGAAAATCAAGATCCCGCCTGTTGGGGTCCGAGCAGACAGCGATCGGAGCTAGCCCGTGAGATCAGACCATGGGAGCCGCGGGATTGCCCTCCCACCCTCATCTGACTCTGCCACCTGATGCGGGGAAGAGGGAGAGAAAAGACAGCATTCCCACTAAGCGCGTGATGCTGCCCACACCGGAAGAAGAAAGACCCTTCCCCGCAGATGGCCAGCGCAGCTGAAAGTACGAGGCTTCATCAGCCTGGTAATGTCTCATCGCAGCAGCCTGCAGAGCTCCGACTACAAGCTGAAAACGACCTTATAGTGCGTCCCGCCTGGTGTCGCAAGGAGAAACGACCAGGCAGGGAAAGGTCCCGGTCCCTTCTGTCACAGTCAGCAGCCACAACTGATTGCACGCTAGTCGCTTTACAACAGTACATGCTCTTCATGTAAATCTCATGGATTCCTCAAAGATCCTGACTTTTCTGCCGCAGCCCTGAGCCGGACCCGAGTCAGGGGTATGGAAAAGACTGTATGGAAAAGTCAGGGGTATGGAAAAGACCTAAGGCACGGATGGTCTCCCCATGTTTTTCTTCCTATCCTTTGGTCCTTTCAGGAAGTGCTATCAAAAGGATGCTCTTGACCTGTGCAACTGTCCAGGAGACTGGACGGTCACCTTGCTGGGGGCACCTGACCCCAGTTGTCTTTCCTGCTTGCTGCAGGGGGCTGGACCCGATGATCTTCCAAGGTCCCTTCCAGCCCCTAACATCTATGAATCTATGAAAACTTCAGCAGTGTTTGTCCAACACCTTCTAGCATACCCAGGGACTGGCATCTTTTATCCATCAAACGCAGCCGACACAGGGTTAGCATCCTAAACTAATAACCATTCATCCCAGCCCTTTCCTGGTGGATCCCTTCTAAGAAGAGAGGGATTCAGTTCCTTGAGGTCCAGTCAGTCTTTGACCACTCTGCTGACACTGCCCAAAAGGCTGTCCACCACCACTTGCACTGATGGGGAGGATAGGTGTTTTTAGTGAGGGCGTCTGTCTGTAAACACCTATCAGGACACGGCTCTGGCCACCAATGCCAGTCACCGAGTAGCCACCAGATGGAAGCAACTGCTGAGACTGCTAGCAAGGGCCACATTTAAACAGCCGATCTACAAATGAAAGGCTCCTTATTTTATTGCCTGCCCTCCTGGCCAGTCCTCTGCAACACGTGCTAGCACTTCATCACCATAAACACCAGCAATAATGAAGGAAAATCATGGGAAAGCCAACAAGTCTCATGAGCAATGGAAACATCCAACAAAATGATTGCAGGGAAGGAGGATCTGTGTATATATAATTTGTAGAAATCAGTTTTTCCAAGGGGTTAATGATCTACTACAGCGATACACCAGATACCTGGTTTGCATTAGTCTGCATGGATGAAACCATTATTTCCTGTTGAGATAAAAGGGGATGGTAGGCACTATGCTGCAGGAAGTCAGGCTGTACATAGTGTTCACGCCGTGCAAGGTAAGGGGGTAAAGTGGAGGTGGCCTAGTTAGACGGTAGCAATGGAGTGGCAGGAGCAGCGTGCATCCTGCTATATCCTGCAGGTTAGATCCAGCGGCAGGAAGCAGAGCATTCATTTTAAAGCTCTCTCTATGGCAAGTCCAAGGGAAATCGAAAGTTACCATGTGCTCCTAGTACCGCACCCAGACTCCTGGCAGCCCCGGGCAAACTTTTAGTACCGGGCCCCACTTTGCCAGAGATAATGATAATAATTATCGGACAATGGGGAGGGGGGAAATGACCATTTTGGGGCCCCCTTTCTGTCCAGGCAGCTGCTTGGTTCACCCATGTCTGTGTCCAGGTCTGTGTGCTCCTAAGCATGCCGGAGACGCCCACCTTCGGATGGATGCAGAAAGCAATCTTGGTCTAGCCAGGGTTATATGCTAGCACATGCACAGAGTATACAGAGGGAAAAATACTTCTGAACTGTTTTTACCCAAAGAATCTCTTCAGGGCAGCAGTAGCTGCAACGACTCTTGTAGGTGGGGGGACAGCCTGATAAGTGAGACAAGGTTTGACACGGGTACTCACATGCACTTGTCAGTACAGCATCCCATGCCCTGAAGCAAGAGAGCTGTCCCCTTAACTTACCTAATGAAAAAGAAATCTGCCCAGGAAGAAGCCTGTGTTTCAGACCCACTTTAACAGTCTTTGCACCTGTAAAACAGGGATGCCAAGTCAGCCAGCTGCCAGGCTCGGGGCATGGGGCAATAACAGGCAGGCGGCGATTCCAGTCTCTGCCTCATGCCACCCATGCCCTAGACATCAGGGAAGCTGAGATTATCAGGTAATCACAGGACTCCAGAAGCTGGTTATTTAAAAGCATCGTAAAACGTGCAATCAAAGTCATGAGTTATATCAAAACAGCCACACACAAGTAACCTCCTCCAAGCTACAGAATGAGAATTATTGCATCGAGTATTCAGTAAATCATGTTTAACAAGGACTAAAGTTACAGCCAAGATGCCTTCACGGCAAATTCGTGAACGTGGACAAAGACCCACTGTATCGAGTTATCTGCAGAGAACTAGCCACTCGGCTCTGAAGTAAATACCTCCTGTAATCACAACGGGCGTTTTTTCCAATTGTACCTTTCCTGATCAACAGGAAAACAGTGTTTTATAAAATGAGAAGTCAGAGGAAAACTAGTTTGGTAAACACAGTCTCTCTTCGGGAAACATCTCTGTTTTAATTAGGCTTCCCAGGCTGGGTTTAAATTGGTTTACATAAACCTATGCTCGCAGTGTTTATGTTAGGCTGTTCACGATTTGTGGTTGACCTACATATTCCAACAAAACGTTTGCTGCATACTTCTGAAAAACATTTGCATGATAGAAGATGATGAAAATATGCATAATTGCAGATGACATTTTTCATTCCTAAATCCTCTTGTACAGAACTTTGGACCCGGCCATGCATGAAAGAGGCTTGTGATTGTAATGGGCAGATTTTCTGTCTGCGCTAGAAATCCCAACCTTCGGGACATTCGGCTTCCGTTTCTCCCCGAGCACCACACATCTGGTGCGACCGCCTAACCAACGGGAACCTCGGCATGCTGAGCGCACGCCGGGCATGGACCGAGGGGGGCTGGCAGGGATGAAACCCTCATGCCGTGGGAGCCTGTTCCACAGTTCACTCCCCGGCGCAGCTCAAGAGATGCATCTGTCCTGTTGTAACCCAACCCAATCCAGCATGGAGCGGTGCCATCTCAGTGCAGCTGCACCGCAGTATTTACAAGACGTGCTGGGTGCTCCCAGGATTAACCGAGATCCTCCTCTCTCATCCGACCATCCTGGAAATCAGAGAAGGGAGTTATCCGACGTGAAACAGGAACCGCCCAGGGTCAAAACATTTAGCCCCTTTGGGAACTAGTTCGCCTGTCTTTATGCTGGTGATTTACGCCCACAGAAAAGCTTGGACTCAGCTGTGGGCAGTGCTCCGGCTTCATTCAAGCACAAGGTCGATTCATTTGACCAAGGTCAGGAAGAGAAGCTCAGGCCACTCCTTGCTTCCAGCTCTCTGCTCCGTCTCCTAGGTGTAGGAAGCACAGCGGCGAGGCAGGGGACCTATACCTCATCCTCTGGCTTTGCGTGATGGCTGAGGAGGGCTTCCAAGGTACAAGCAGCTGGCTGGAAATGCTAGTGCATGTGTCTTGTGAATGCGTCCCCCAGGTCCAAGATCACCGCCTGATTACATCCAGGGGCTGACAGATTCTCTCTCTCAACAGCACTGCTTACTTTTGTTTCGCTAACGTCTTGGGTAAAGTATTTAATCGGAAATAAAGAAAAAAGACATTCACCAACTGGAGCTGTCCCAAGCTCTGAGAATACAACCAGGACATGTTTTGGGGGGGTTTTAACGTCCAGTCTCAAAATGCTAAGTCCATGGGGGTGGTAGGTCCTTTTCCTCTCTCACGTCCTTCAATCCCTTGTGCTCTGCAGTGGGAAAGGGCTTTAAACATTGGCTCTGTTACCAGATTGGAAAAAGCTAACAACCCCCCCCAAGCTTTTAATTACTGTTCTAACGAGCGACCTGATTCAAACTCAAAGTCAGTGAAAGACTCCAATCAAGCCTCAGATACTTCACTTTATTATTCCCTCTCTGCTATAAAACTGCTGCGCTTTAGCCTGTAACTTAGTGGTCTATCCCTTTCCATTGCACCCACCCCTCTGCCAACCTGCAGCCTTAAAGAGGGACCACTCTGCTTGCTTGCATGCTCTGACCAGACACACGGTGCAAGGCACTGCTCTGAAAATGCCCATTTCATCGCTAACGGCAAGTGCCATCACCTGTCTAAGGGCTGTCCGGCACCGATTCCTCACTACAGATCTACACTGGAGATGGGGTGCACTAGCAGGTGCTTCTAAAACTGCTATGACAAAGCCGAAGGAGCCTGATATACTAGGCTGAGCGTAAAAACTTTGAGACTTTTCAGATCATCCAAGTCGAACGTGCCAGAGTGCTGCAATGAAGATTTTCCCTAGTAATGCCCCTTGCTTGTCTTGTTCTTGCCAAGCCCTGTCTTATTTATTGTTTTAATCTATGTAGTTCTGCAGTGCAGAATCTAGTAATGTGTCTGACAGGGATAAAATGTTACCAGGAGGAGTGGGGGGGAAATCCTGACTCCAAACCTGGCTTCCATTCAAAGCTTGCAGCGCCCTTGGGAGGCACCAAAGGCCACTGTGCAGGTCCCTGCAGCAATGATGGGTTTGGAGATACCCAGCTGAGGCAGACTCCCTATGCCAGAAGAAGGGCGTTTGTGCCCGAAAGCTTGCAAAGAACAATTTTTCCAACTATAGTTGGTCTAATTAAAGATACCACATCTACCCAAAGACTGCAGGACCAGCAGGTTCAATGCACTGCACCTGTGAGAGAGAGAGGAAGAAAAGGCAAGAGCATTTCAGGAGCGCACAGAAAAGAAGCCCCAGATGTGGCCCGAGAAGCCCAGGCAGGATGATCCTGAGAAAGAGCCAGAAGAGGGAATGCTTTTTGGATAAAGCACTGGCTGGAAAGAGGCTCAGAACTGCGAGCAAGAAAATCATCTCTTCTTCTCTGCCCCCTCCTGTGTTGAGGAACAAGGCTTTACGTGCATGCTTTGTGAACGAACAGGACTGCGTCATCCACCTGACCCCAGCACCGCCGTCTCCTCCTCCTGACACAAGCGTCTCGCTCGGGTCACAAAGGGGAACGCGAGGATGGTTTTGTCTACATGGACTGTTGCCTGCTCTCAGCTCCTCCTGTTCTCCCACCTTCGGTCTCTGGAGGGGAAGGCCTGCAGCTCTCTCCCTTACATTGAAGCCAGGGTCTTATTTTTTTCAGCAAACAGATGTTTTAGATTTAGCCATCAGAAAACTAGTCCCAAAGACAGACATAACCATTAACCTTAGAGCAGCTGAGCCTGATGAAAAGTCCTGGAAAGTTAATGAATACAGGGAATTACACACCTCATTTCAGTTGTAATGGAAAATATCCTGGAGCTGCAGACTCTGAACTCATAATCACCCCGGTTCTTAGTTTTTCAGCATCCCCACAAAATTCACCCTCCACTTCCCCACTGCTCCAAAAACATTTTCCAGTCTGCATCTCACTGGGGAACAGCAGGGCTTTTGGCTTGTCCTCTTCAGGAGAGGACCAGCCCCATCAGACTAAAGGTACCGGCTGTTCCAGACAACGCCCGGTCCCTTGCATTCCCGCAGGCGTGTGCTAGTGACTAGAAAGGCGAGGGACCCGATGTTTCAGCAGCCCAAGCTGCACAGAGCAGATGCACGGCATTGAAGGGAAGCCAAAGGCAGGGTGTTGGGAACCACCATGGCAAGTCATGAGTTGCAGCTACACTAGTCTCTCTTCCCCTGCCAGCTGAGCACTGCTGCTAAGGCCAAAGCACTCGGGTAGACTAAACAGCAGCCACTTGGTTTGGCTTTGGTTGAAGGGCGCCAGAGAACTTAATCTCTTCCCATGTGTCCCACATCACGCAGAACATTTTCCCGGGGGGTTGTGCAGCTTGGTAAGACTTTGTTTCCATATTTTCATAATTAGCAGAAACATCTTGCGCAGTCAGCAAACAAGCATGTGAAAAGCAATCACGAGAAGAGACCGATCCCCAGGAATCCACTGGCGAGGAGAGCTTATTTTCATACATGAAACAGAACCCACCTTGGAGACGGTGAATAAGAGGAGGATGAGCAATCTGCATGCCTTGCGGCAGGAGATGCAACGCGGGGTTATAACTGAGGAGGAGCTTGGATGAGACAGATGGAAAAGCACAGCAAAGAGAAGAGGCCGACCGACCAGATCGCTGTGCCGACCTAGCCCTGCTGCCCACCAGAAGTGCTAGTAACCTCGGTGCCTGAACTCCAACGCTGAAACAACACGAGCTCTTTAAGCTGCTGCTCCCTGCCTTAAACAAGAAAGCTCTATCGTGGGCCAGGGTTCATGGCCACCACCATCCACCCATTGACTGTCCAAGCTCAGATGAAGTTGGGAGGGCTGGGACGCAGGGACTGGGGCTTGGGTGCCACACGGAAGTAATGCACGGGAGCAAGCATGCAGAGGCTGGCCGAGCACAGCACGGCTGCCTGCATGGGCTGGCGACCCAGGCCTGAAGGCCACGTCCAACACGGGTAGTTACAGCAACACCGACAGTCATACTGACTATCCAGTCCCTGGCACGCAGCCACCACGCTGGTGCAGACACGGATGCCCCACGTCCTGCCCGAAACAGGTAGTCACCGCGGCACCGACAGTCACACCCAGCGATGCAGGGCACACACACTTTTCACACACATGCCCCACGCCCTGTGTGAAACAGGTAGTCACCGCGGCACCGACAGTCACACCCAGCCCCTGGCACGCAGCCGCAGACCCGGCTGCCTCTCCCAGGCAGCCCCCTGCAAAGTCCCCGGTGCACGGAGCTGCGGGCGCTTTGCACGCGGGGCAGCAGGGCCGGGAGCTGCCCCCGGTGTGTGCACACGCACGCACGCAGGCACACGGCGCGCTGCACGGGGCAGCCCCGCGCTCCTCCCCC